AGCATATTAACATTAAGTCTAAACGGAGGTCTAGCTTTCTCAATCACATCCTGAGACACCACATCCATTAGGACAGGGTAGTGGTCTGGTAGATGCATATTATCCAAATCAGACCAACAACACCTGTCCCATGGAGCTCCCCGTGCTAATGCGTGGAGGAATTTCCTCTCCCCTGTAATTTCAGAGCTCCCATCCATGCCTTGACCGTATTGTTTGTCGTCTCTTCCCCCCTGAGGGTCGCACTGATGGGTTGCATCCACGGAATTGTGCTTCCCATCGCCCACGGCGTCAGTGTACTTGTCCAAGGTGTCCCCGTCCTCCCCATGTGTGAGCAGGTGGCAGGACTGTCCGCCAGAGTTTGGGTCTCGGTGATGGGGAAAGGCAGCTCCCTTTATTTTATTGAGGAGCGAGCTCGCCTTATTCCACATATGCTGTGGCGACGGGATTTTTGTGTTCCCTTTTTCATTCCCTTGATCCTTGGGCTCGTGTGGTCGGTCTATTGCGTGTCTTCCCTCTGCGGGCTCCAAGGAGTCGTTTTTTTTGGCAGTGATGGGGTTGGGTAATTGCGGGAGGCCCAGTTTTGTGAGGTGAGGGGGGCGCTTCGTCATGTGCTGCTGCTGCCGTAGGGGGGGTTGAGTTTGCGTTTCTGCAGTGGTCCCCTCAAGCTGTCCTTGTACCGGATCATGAGGGTGAGGTTCGGGTGGAGGGCCATTGTGCTTCTGTCGGCCTGGCTGTTTGGTGATGTCCGATGCAGTCCCCGGTCCCCTGTCCTTGCTATTGTGATGAAGGGGCGGCCCCTGGGGGAGACCAGGGGTTGTCAGCGAGGGTGGGGTGTTCCCCTCCTCTTTCTGTCGGGGGTAAGTTCGTATTTCTACATGGGGCTCGTCCATCTCCCCTTGTATTTGCCACCACCTCTCGAGGTGGTAGAAAAATGCCCATCCCCGCGGCCCCCCAGGCCGCTGACAAATGCTACCCCGTTTGGTGGACGGAAAACCCTAGTTCGCAGCCAAAGGCTGCGCCTTACCCGGTTCGGCTTTTTTGTCGTCTAGTGCATTTTTTTTTTAGGCAGGTTTTCGTCGGTTAAGCGGGGTTTAAAGGGCGTCGAGAGGTGCATTGGAAGGGTGAGGTCGGGGAGGTGAAAACGACCAGTAGGCCGAGCGGTCGTCTCAGAGCTTAAAGGCTCAGCGACCGTGGCGGGTTTGGACGTCGTTTGTGTAAAGACGGTGGTCGGCGACCGTCGTGTGGTTTCGGTTTTCTTTTTGGGAACAAGGCCCATGTTCTAGCGGAGTATTCATTTTCATTTTGCACATCGAAGAGGCCGTCGGGTCGGCCGCATCCTATCGATGGAAGAAGTACCATGACGCCAGCCGCGACATTCGAGACTTACCTTCTCTCTCTCTCTCTCTCTCTCTCTCACACACACACACACACACACACACACACACACACACACACACACAAAAGAACAAGTATGGCAGTGTATATTCCCACGCTATAGCGCCAGATTCATTCGATTTTGCTCATCCTATCGATGGAAGTACCGTGAAGCCAGCCGCGATGTCGGACACTCACATGCTCTGCTCTGCTCTCTCTCTCTCTCTCTCTCTCTCTCTCTCTCTCTCTCTCTCTCTC